TTCCCCTCTCGACAGGTGCGGTTGTTGGTCATTTTAAATGTCTATTTTGCACTTGTATGTTTCCCCTTTCCATTTAAGTTGTTTGCTGCCCTGAGTCCCTTTTAGGGAATAGTATTGGATCTAGGTACTTGAGAGACCGCCTGCTGCCAATTACCTCCCAAAGACCCATAATAAAATAAAACTTAAACGTAAGTGACTGGGTAAGCAGGATTAAGAAAGAGTTAAGGTTAGAGTCACGATTTTTCAACTTAAGGATTTGTATCCCGGTTTATTTTACTGACAGAAAGTTTTCATTAGTAAATAGGACAGAGTTCCTGTGATAACTATACTTTAGATAAGAGAGGACACTTAAGATTTAGATGGATTTGAGCAGTAAGCAAAAATGAACAGAATAAAATTCCAAAAGGAATAATGTAAGTTCAGCATCTGGGTAGGAAAAATATGTAGCACAAATATTGAATGGTGATACCTAGTTTGGCAGTACCATAGTGTGTGGGAAAAGAAATTGGGTGTCTTCGTTAGCAACTTGTTAAACACAAGCTAGCAGGGTGTTGCAGCTCAAAAAAGACAGATACTCCTTTGGGTATATTAAGAGCACAGGGCTAATTTAAGAGATCAGAATTGCTCCATATGTCCAGTTCGGGGCACCACAATTCAAAAAGCATAGTGAGAAAACAGAGCAAGTTCAAGAAGAGCCATCAAGGTAGTGAAAGTTTTGGAAGCCTATCTCTATGAGAAATGTTTAAAGGATCTGCATATAAAATTCAAGTGAGTGTAGCTGTGATAACAGTATCAAACATCTGAATGGTTGTCATAGAAAAGGGTAAGGATGTATTATCTGTGGCCCAGAAGGCAAAGCAAAACCAGAAAGTTAAAAGCACAAGGAAGTTCACTATAACCATCATGACTAATTTCCTGGCAGTACAAACTGTCAACCTGTGAAACAGGCTGCCACATGATGTAGTGAGTTTGAAGACTTGAGACAGCTGAATGGTTATCTTTCAGGAATTCTGAAGTGAATCAACTATAGGACAGAGACATTCAGTTCCATAGCATGTCCTGTGTTTTAGCTAAGGACTGATGCGGATGTGTATGAATCTCTTGGAAAAATGATGGAATATTAATATAGCAATAAATAAATATAACAAAACTAAAATAAGACATTTGTAATCTCTCCTTTGAGCCGGATAGATTCTCAAAGTGGCCTGCAAAGCAATAAGTCAAAGCTGAAAATCATAAAGGAGAGGAAGGAAAAGAAAACAGGAATGTTTGGGAAATAATATGCAATTTATTACTGATATTAGAATGTCTAGCTGGAATGCAAAAACAGTTAAGTAATAACTATAAAGCAATCAGAAGCTGCTGCTCTTATCAAAACAAATTGGCACGGGAAATAGCTAAGAAGAAAATTTCACATTTCTGGTCTCTTTAGTAGCTGAAGTAATGGTATAGTCCTGCTTCCTGTTTTTCCCTGTGGTATAACTTGGTGGACTCACTGCTGAGTCATCATTAGTGGGAAGGTAACAGTTGATAATGGTAGTAAACAATCCAGTTTATGTAGGATATGAGGGTGATAGGCAAGACAGACTTTTCTCTCTTTGTCAAAAAAATATCTCTTGGGTTAACTTATCAGATGCAAGATAAAAAGCTCAGGAAACTAAAGAAAAACCTTATGCATTTTGGGTAGTGATAGCTAAGAGTGTGAATGATTTGCAAGCTCTAGTAATGAAAGTCAAGGAGCAAAATGGAAAAAAAATGGGAATTAGGCTAAACATAAAGAAAATTAAATTAATGAAAGCAGGTCCAACAACCAACTTTAGAACTGTCAGTGAAGATATTGAAATAGTGGATAACTTCTGCATTTTAGGATCAGCTGTAAGCATTAAAATATAGCCAGTATGTAAGAAATGTGATGCAGATTAACACTTGGTAAAGTAGCAAGGACTTGGAAGAGATACTCAGATGCAGTGATGTCTCCACGCCTATAAAGATCAAAAGTATGCAGGCAGCAAGTGAAAGTGGGACTTTGGAGAAGCAGAATAAAGTTTTGACATTTTTTAACGTCGTTGTTTAAAATCCTGAGAATGTTTTGGATAGCCAAGATAACAAACGAAGGGATCGTCAGACAAATCAACTCAAGAGTTCTTACCCGAGGCATCAATAACCAAGTTCAAATTATTCTACTTTGAATATGAAGGTCTAATATGAAGACCTAGGTCTCTGGAGAAGTATACTACCCCTTGGAAAAGTGAAAGGAAAGAGAAGAAGACAATCTCACAACCTTTCAGGTGATGGATGGTCAGTTTACACTAGTCATAGGTGTTCCATTAGAAGAAATGTAGAACCAGATTAGAGACAAATTCATCATGGAGAAAATCTATCTTTGTAGCCACTGAGTCAATACTGGCTTGATAGCATGTAAGTCAGTGTTTCCCAACCTTGGCAATCTGAAGATGTCCGGACTTCAACTCCCAGAATTCCCCAGCCAGCGAATGCATTCGCTGGCTGGGG